GTCTGTCATACAAAACAAGCAAGAAATGAAAAAAGAAAAGGTCGATGAAAACAGTGCTAAGAAAGTTTGAATGCTTGTTCAGCTAAATAATCTAAGGATGCCAAACTTGCAGCTTTGGAGCCGACACACATTTTATACTGAGCGTCTGGCATAGTTTTTGGACACCGAATTTGGTGGAACACATGAACTAAACTGGGGTCTGGAATCCGCAAAATTCGTAGAGATGAACGAACGCATTTCTCGAAAAGATCGACATCTTCAAGTCCCCAACCCTAAAATTCAACAGCTTTATTAACAATTCTTCGATAAATATAGACGCTGTGAATTATTTTTCCAATAAAATAAGGTAAATCAACCTTTATTGTAACGTTTATACCACCAACAGCGTCTAGATCTGATTTATACAAAGATACTAGTCCAAAACCAAAATGTCGAAAGTATCCTTTGCGACGACCATATTCAAAAGGAATGGAGTTTTCTTTTTCTCGTTTAGACCAAGTATCTGGTGAATATTCACTGAACACTACAGGGAAGTAAATCTAAAATTAGTGAAAACCTAACAGCAGTTTAAAACAGTGTTTGAAAACAAAATAGTGATGGAGAATTGAAGAAAAAACCTCAGGTTTGAAAATTTCTACGCGCGTAGTTCAAAACCAGTTTACCTGAGCACCGCGAATAGTATTCAAACGTATGCGGTCAAGAGTATCACAGGTAAATAACATATCAACATCAGTAAAAAATATTAACGCATCAGGCTTTAACAAAGCGGCTCCTTTTGCTAAACCTAATCCTCGACTAAACGTTAAATTCCCCATTCTTACCACCTAAAAAAATACTTTTGGTAATAATAAATATGAAGACCTTTCCATTTTTTTTTTGACCACATTTTACAGCAGAGAGCAGTGACGATTACAGCAGTAAAACAGTACATAAGTTTTTTCGACAAATATTTCAATAGTGATCGATTTTACTTACATATGATAGACATGCTTGAACAACATCAAAACTGTCTTTGAGTACGCCAACAGTTAAACATAAATAAAGTTTGGTAAAAACGCATAATCTAAACTAACTAAACGAACCTGAACATTAACCTTACTCGACATATCATGTATAGTTTCGTTGTTAGCAACGTCTTCATTATATTCATTTGAATTGAAAAGAACGACGATAAGTGAAAAACTTTTATTGTCTGGGCATAAAGTTTTCAAATTTCTAGAAAACCTGAAAATCATTACAATATAACATCTATGTCGAAAAGCTTTCATATTAAAAAAATTACATTTAATTTATATTTATTGTATTTAAACCGGTTAAAATTTTCTGATAATCAGAATTTTACAAGATCTGTAAATATGACTCAAGAAACGCGTGTCAAATAATTTTACTGAAGTCTCCACAATGAAACTGATGCTTTGAAAAGACACCACCAATTTCAGCAGTGCCCCTAATTTGTACTGCAACCTCTGCCAATGAATATTAAGCGTTAATAAGATATCATAAATCCTTCCAAGCTCATTTAGTCTAGGAATTTTTGTTGACAGTACTGAAATATGTGCTATTAACTGTAAGCAGCAACAGAAGATTTTTCCTCACTTCTTTAACAACTAGAAATAGTGAAAACTGAAGCTGCCTTGTTTCATTTTCGAGATCCTTCTTATTTATCATAAGTGATTGTGATGAAAGAGTGATACAAGTTACTTTTGTTAAAAACTTATTTACATTTTTTGGCGGCACAATAAACAATAAAGTATACCTTCTAAATTGCTGTAATTACAGAATTAGCACATTTTAGCTATTGAAAAGATCAAATTTTATCAGAAGTAGTCTACTTTATTATCTTTGACCTTTTTTAGTATATTAAACCTTCTGCAGGAGTCTGCTTTAGCTATATTCAACTGAAAAAATTATTAAAAAGTTATGCTAAAGGAGTATTTGTAATTTTAAAATTATCTAAATAAAAAAGTCAAAAACAACAAACCGTAATATTTCAAAAATGTGAAAAATTTGACTTGATTCAGCCAAGATTTAGCCAAGAGTTTTTTTTGCTTTTTTGCGTTTTTTTTTTTTTTGATTACTATGGCCTGGAAGACTTCCAACCACTGTCAGGGGAGAGCGGAAAGCTTTACCAGGCCCACAAGCTGATGCTGTGCAAAATTTCTGTAAGAGGAAAAAAACGAGCTACTAGTCCAAAAATTCCACAAATTCTGGTACTTCTTTTTAGTATCCAAACAGTACTTGGTCTTATCTATCTTTAAACAATTTTCGGATACTTTAAATAGATAATATGTTGTTTTACTATGAAATTTTCACAGTAATAGTTTATTCATATTGCTCTATTTTTGCTGTTAGCACTGGGTGCTCTTCATCTATGAGATTTTATGCCTTAAGATTTAACAAGTAAGGAAAAAAAATTAAGGCAAGAATTTACCGTTTAAAAATGTCAGCTCTTCCGGCCAACGGTAAAATAAGATGAACATGTGGATTTTCTGGCGTAAGCACCTCTCGTGACCATTGATAATCAACATTTTTTTTCAAAGTTGCCTGTTTTCTAATTTTTTCTGTTCGTTGACGGAGGAGAAAACGAACATGATTGTCAGTGGCAGCCATAATAGGACCAAAAGTTTGTTGTACATAGGCGTGCCTTCGGACAGATAACGTTGCTCTGAACATTAATGTAAAACTAAGTATAAGTCCAAACTTACTCGCTTAATGTTTATTATGATACCTATGCGGTGGTCGGAATTTTTTGAACCAGAGGATCATGTCAAGCACATAGTCGACGCCAAAACGTGGTTCGACTCGTGTATAACCGTATTGAATGTTTTGAAACTGTAACGTTCGTCCCCGTTGCCTAGCATTTTGATTGAATTCGTCAAAAAGCTAAAAAGGTGATTCATCAGTTGTAAATAGACATTTTTGCCGAAGAAAATTTTAGATAAATACGTTTAATTGACTCACCTGCGTAATAACTTCGCTCACTGCAGTTCTGACACTGAGATCTACGGTGTGCCTTGGACAGTTAACATCTCTTGAACAGAACAGAATACTATTAGATGCAATATAATCCCAATGCATCAGATCCGATGTAGTGTTAGCGACACGCCTTGTTAGTGATGGTGGTGGTGACTGCGGTAACGAATTGAGTAGTACCACTTGTCGTGAACGTAAGGCAGCAAGTCGCAGGATTCTATTGTTTACATGGATTTTTCGCATTGTTGATCCGTGTTTGATTGGATGTAATGTTATGGAATGTCGCAGTTCATTGATGCTTTTTCCATCGTACGCGTTTGGTACAGATTGATTATTGTGGAACAGTGTCTGCATCTCATAATTCCAAGTACATGCTACACCAACATGCTTTCTGATACACCTAAAAAATTTAACCAGTCCAGTGAGGCAGAGTAGCAAACTCTGACAAGGAAGAAAATATTACTTTCAGCAGTGAATCTTTAGTAGTAACTAAAACCATTTAACAAAAAGAAATTCAAACCTGCCAAGTTCAACATCTTCATGTGTCGTTAGCATCTCCATCAAACATGATCTTAGGTGTGGCGCAACACTTCTTAACGTTTCACGAGACATGACAACACCAGGTCCACCCATACAGTAGTTATCCTTTTCTCCAAGTGCTAACTGTCCGTATTCAGCAACACTTCCCAATCCAGCTTGGCCAATTAATTGTGCCTTGTCAGAGTCCAAAGAACTGTAAGTTATATAATCATTATTATTGCTATCATAGTGTTGTATCGATAATGTGGCAATGCTTTACACTATTAATATCAATATAAAATAACTGTAATAGCTTTTGTTTATTGAAACATGCAACTTTTAATATAACATTTATTAACAGCAATAAAATTTTTTATGACGCTTATTACTAGCTGATATTTAAAATAACAACATTTTTGTTTATGAAACGTCAAATTACATCCAAAAAAAGCAATTTTATTTACTTTCACTATTTTTCCCGGCAGTTATTCTTAGTCAAAAACAAATTGTACTAATGATTGCTAATAAAGTTGTCAATGGTGTTGCTCATTTATCACAAACAATGGCAATTAATTTTTTTTTTTTTTTCAGTTTCATAAGTCTCCAAAAAAAAGTAACTACTGATTGTGAAATCATCATGAAAATAGTGTCGCTAGTTTTTTTTTCTTTTTTTTTTGTTTTAATAGCCATCACAGTTTCAAAAAAGTCCGTTTTGAGTTGACTTAAGACTCAAAATCTTCGCCAAGTGTATTTCTGTAGAGAGTATACTACCAAGTTGTTGCTCATGCTTTCAGTTTGTTGGTCATTTTATACAGTATTTTAATGTAATGATCATTTTTTCTCCTCAACCACTGATTCGTAAATATTCGCATAAAAAATTAGTTAATAGTAATAAATTAATTTATGAAAACTTTTCAATAAGCATAAAAATTGACTATTTTGATTCTTGCTTCTCATCGTCCGACCCCCCCCCCCCAAT